TACTTGCTTACCTGTTAAATTGAAAGCGATCCTTTCAAGGTGGGGGGCATGTTCAAGATAGTGGCTGAATAATCATTAAAAAGGGGAAATGAAGGTTGCTAATAGTAACTATTATTAATTATGTATCATATATGTGTGTGTCAAGAAAAATAAAAAAAGTCAGATCTTGAAGTTCATTTTAGTATAATTTTAATCTAAGAATTCTCACATTTACAAACAGACAACCTATAAAAAATCATATCTAAGAAAAAGAACAAATCAAAACAGTAGTCTGGAGTGTAATGAGATTTGAGAGTTTATTAATATAAGAAGAAGTGTTTAGGATGATGGTGGCATTGCCTTTATCGACGGGAAAAATTACTAGATTTGGATTTGACTTAAGTTCTTTCAGGGCTTAATTTTCGGATGGGCTAATGTTCGGAGTAGGAGGCTTTGAGTACTGTAGCGATGTTTTGTCTGGTTATTTCAGCATCTTTGGAAGATAAACGTTGATGGTTTCTTCAGTTTGACAGATGATTGTCTCAATTGGAATGTGACTTAAATAAAAAAGTAATTGAAATCTTATATACTAAAACGCTAAGCCCTTTTCTTGTCCACCACTTTACTCAAAACCCATATTATATACTTAAAATATTTTTTCGGAATATTTTTAGTATTACGTATGAGATTGTCAAGATATACTTTTGGTACAAAAATTCACTTCCGGTTTTGAGATGACCGGAAGTTAAAATTGACTTTAAGTTTTAGGCCCCACAATGTATATATGGATCGAAAGGTCTCGTCGAGACGAATCTAAATATGTACTTCCGCTTGCGATCCGACACCGGAAGTGACCCAAAACGCGCATAAAACGTCAAGATAGAGCAAATCTGACACCCGATTCGTGATCAGCATGCAAAAGTAACTGCTAAATGATATCCATGTCGACATTTGATGAACTAAAAATTGCATTCCGGTTTTGAGGTCGACTTCCGGTTTCGTTTTTATTAAAAGGTAAAAAGTAAAAGTTTACATAACTCCCGGTGCCAAGCAAAAGTTTTCAGAAAATGGAGACATTGTAACAAAAAACATTGTTTTCGACGAAATATTTCGTGATATTTAATACACTTTTTACTTGCATTATTATTGATGAATGTTATGTATATTCTTGCTTATATTGTTTGTATTGATCTCTCAATTTTTCTCGCAAAATAAAAATTTCATTTCAAAAACTCGATGTCGAGCTGGTCCGCTAGTATTTTGCTAAAGCGTGAGTGGCAATGATCGAAATAGGAGCATCAGAAAAATTATGAACCATTGCAGTTGGTTTCACGTTGTGGTTTTTGGATTTTTTTGGAAATTAGATGCGCTGATTTGCGCTTTTGGGTTTCAGTTCTCAGAGTCGAAAGTGTTTAGGGCTGTCTCTGTGTTAATACGGTCGAAACTGTCCCATAATACTATCACAAGAGTATTACTATTACAATAATTAATATTATTTAACAGTCTTCCAGAGTGAACCGCGTCGATTATAAAACTTTGCGCAGTGATAATGGAATAGATACAAACTATTTTTACATTAAATATGTTGGTGAAAATACCATGCACCATCTAGTACATATGGAAGAAAAGCGACAGAGAATGTAATAGTACTAGATCGGCTTCCATTTGATAACGTATATGTATAAATTATAAATTTATATTTCCAAGCAGTGACATAAATCGACCTAATAGATTTGGGTCTTTTGTAAAAACTTGTCGATACTTCTAAGATTGCGGATCAAACTCAAAACTTTCGATTAGTAGTTAAATACCCTTTCGTTTGAACTAACAGGCTACATTAATACTATAAATATTTTCTAGACGCTCTTTTTATTTGTGTTATTGTATAAAGTTGTTTTTTTTAGTGACATATCTCCAATTTGCAACAAATTCGCCGAACCAAGTGTATGTTTTTCGGCTTTCCCTTTGTGTCTCGATCGTGAACAGATCGACGACTACCAAACACAACATTTCCAGGAATTGAGTCATTTGGGAAACGAAAATAAACAGAAATTCAAAAATATTCGAGCAAAACTAACAAATGCGCTTCGGAGAATATGCAAGGACGAATGTATACTGTTGGAGAATGAACTTTGCAGTAAAGAATACAGTATTGCGAAAAGGCATCTGGTTATAAGTAAATATTTCCATCTCTTTGTAATTATCAAATATGTATTTTGTATTAGAAATAGATTTCGCTAGTAAAGTAAGATAAAAGAAACGATATAATGATTAGAGCAATCGCAAAGTCTTATCTGGAGAAGAGCAAACATTCATAATTAGATGCTCTCAATTTTATCGGTGCCCGATATGAATTTAATTTGATTACTTATTTTATATTTATTTTTGAAACTACCATTTAAACTTACCATAAGCTAAATAGAAAACTTTTCACTAAGATGTCAAAATATATTACCATAAAAAAGTTACTTTAATGCGACTAAATCTCAAGACCGTCACGTTATTTTCTCTATTCCTGAATTGTAGGAAGTGGACAAACAAACAAAACTTATACTAAAAAAATTTGTACTATAAGAACTGTATTATATGTATTTATCTTAGAATCCATAGCTTATTTTTTTTATACAGTGGTTGTGTATAAAGTGTACCTACTTTTTCTTTCCATAAAATTGTTACTCTTTAGTAAGAATTATTTTATGCATTACAAAATGCACCTTGCATGTTTTAAGTTAGTTTTTCATCAGTTTTTATCTAGGCAGCCAAAATTAAGTTATGTATTAAGTCTTTTTACTAGCGGGGACGAGCACCATTATGGGTACTAGATCGTTAAGGAATGTATAGCGTGGAAAAAGTCTTGCCATACATACATACAAGCCTCGTAAAAAAAACCTCATACAAGCAGGAATCAGATTAGAATTTTAACCTGTTTTCTTACTAGAGATGCACCAGTCAAAAGACAGCTACACGCAATGAGTTTGTTTCACGGAGTCTTAAGCTGAACACTATGTGCCATAGAAGCTGAAAGCTTCTACTACATTTTGCACGACTACGAAGCACTAGGTCGCAGGCGACAAACGCTTTTTAGGGACTAATAAGTGACTTCAAAAACATATGGTACCCACTCACGAGAAGTGTACAAATGGCACAGGTTTCCAGAATTCTGAAATGGTGATCATGAATAAATTGAAGATGTATATACAATTTTCCGCAGTATGGTTAGTGTTTTAATAGACTGTTTCCAGGGGAAAAATGACCTTTTCCACTATTTGACGAGTTATAAAGATGGAGTGTGTCGATACGTTCTTTTGAAACTCCTGTTATTCTTCACATCTAGGGATCATGCGCTTTTGAGTTTTTAACTGTAATTTTGGTGAAAATTTTTATATTGTTCCAGCAGTGATATTCGTCTATAGGTGTATATATATATATATATATATATATATATATATATATATATATATATATATATATATATATATATATATAACACTGTTTTTGATGGGTTGGAGTCAATAAAAGGGGCTATTTGTTGACTATTTTTTACTCGAGCTTTCAATTGTGATTACAATTTTTATCAAGAGCTTCTAAAAAATACAAAATGTCTTACAAAGTTGAACTAGAAATAAAAAAGTTTTTGTTAACTCACCAAATAAAATTAGTTTTTTATATAAAACTACTGCTTACATAATAAATACAAAAAATATTAATAAAAAAATGTCTTATTCTAATAAATGTTTCTCTGAAAAATTTAGATGAAGTTTCTTAAGAAAAAAATTGAATTTATAAACAAAAATAGAATAGCTACAACCAGCCTAAAATGTCATAAATACTAACTTAAAAATTTTTATTTTTGACATATTGTCAAAAATAAAATTTTGTTTAAAAAATTCTTCTTTGTTTAGTAACAAAAAAGAAGAAGAATTTATTCACCATTGATAGATGCCCGACTAAATGTAACAAATACATGGAAAATTCAAAATGTGATATTTTACTGACTGCATAAATTAAATAGAAATTATATAATTATAAATTTTGCTTAAATTTTGAATTTCTGACCTTTTGTTTAAATTATTATCACTTTGGCTAATACAAACCATTTCCAAAAAAGTTCTTTTAAATTTATTACTTTCATTACATAAAATTTTAATATTATCAAAATCCATAATATGGTCTTTGTCTATTACATGCTCTGCCAAAGCACAAGATGGTTTCTTAATTCTACAATCACTCTTGTGAGAAATAATGCGATTTGAGAGATTTCTTCCAGTCTCACCAATATACTCAGCTTCACACTGAGTACAAACAATGCTGTATACTACATTTGTTTGATCTAATTTGTCTGTACAGTGTTATATTTTTTCCAAACGAGTCACAAGTACTTCTTTTTTCTTACTCTTATATATATATATATATATATATATATATATATATATATATATATATATATATATTCGATATCAATCTATTTAAGTAAGTAAAACACGCATACTGTTTTACAAACTCTTGATATCTGTCTTTATCTTTGTTTTTATCAATTGTTTCATTAAAAATTTTCGTTATTTCCTTTATCCTACTTGGTTCTCCATATTTAGTTTATTCTTTAGTATTCGTTTATTCTGTTTGTGCTTTCCTTTTATCAGCTCGTGTGTTTGAGTAACTGATCTAAAGTATCTGTACATTATTTTATTATCATTAAAAATGGCGGACAGGCGCCATTTTTAATATAATTTTAAATGGGATTATATGGCAAGTAGTACTTCGTATGAAGTCTAATTTAAAAATTCAACAACGTCAAAATATTGATTTCAAATATTATCATTAGGTAAACAATTAGCGCAAAATATTTTCTAAACCATAAAACTTAATAGGTATCTGAGTAACCAAGCTAAAATATCTGTTATAGTTTTTATGACGATTTGAGCATTAAAAATGACGGACGGATGACATTTTCTAAGATAATAATTTAAAATGGGATCATATTCCAAGGAAGATTTTAGATCATTTCAAGTAAGGTTCAAGGATAGCTATACGATTAAAAAGGTTTGCTTTGTTATACATTTTAACCGTAAAGTATTAAAATTTTAAACTGGTATGAAATCGGTTTAGTTGATACCTGTTCAGTTCAGATATTACAAAGATATTAATTTTAATTTATGAGTTGGAAAGTATATTTTGGCAATTGTTTAACTAATAGTATAACACATTAATTGAATATTTTCATTAGTAAACAATAATCAGAAAAAGTAACAAAGATCTTATACTTCTAACGAAATAATAAGATAAATTAATTTTTCATATACTCAGACAAAACAAAATGTACATCAACTAGAGTGAGCTGCCTCTCCAAATATTTTTTAAGTAGTTCTTTGGTCTTTACCTTTATAGAATTTTCCATTGTGCTCTATTATTTCGTCTGCTGTTCAATCGTGTTTTCTATTAATTTGAATTCCTTTTATATTGTGTGATTTAATGACCTAAATGCGTGGTCTATATTTTGACTAACGGGTCTGATTGTGGATCGTTTTTTCTTTCAGTTTTCTCTCAATGATAGAAATATATCAATACGAAAGATTATGTATCGATTGTTAAGAAGTGCATTATATTTTTTTTTTTGGTTAATTGATAATATATAAAAAGTTTACAAGTGAGTTGTATTCTAATAACATTCTACATAGAAACAACTATTCAATTTTGATAGTTTTTTAATTTTAAAATTAGATTATAATATACAGTCCAAATTGAAACGGCTCATTTAAAATTAACGAATTGTGAATGCTTAAATTGAAATCTAAACTTAAACTATCTAAACAAACAGTCACAAAGAATTAATAACTTCCTTTTAACTTTTTGTAACTACATAATTTCTCACAGCTGTCAAGATATATTTGTTCCTACTATGTTGCGAACGTTTATGGAAAAATAATTTCCTCAAAGATAAAAGAAAAAAACAAGTAAATTCATTTATTATATTAAAAGTAGACGGGGTCAACAGACATTAAAAGATATTTTTATAAATAATGTAGAAGTTAGTAGTTTTAATTATTATACCAAAAAACAGCTGTATATGGTTTTATGATACACCATATCTTATATGAAGGGTAATACAGGAATAGAAGGGGCTCATCGGCATTTTGTTCGTTTTGAGTAAATCATTATTTAAGGGATAATTTACATATGGCCTCTTTAAAACACTAATAAACAACTATAAAATAATATCCCTTTATTACGGAATGCCTGTATAATACAAATTTACTTTTGTTTGTCTAATTATGTACTCGTTATAGACGATCTGTTAACATTCACGCATCATGTCAGGTACCTGCAAAGGTGCATTCTTGAAATGTGCCTCTTTTTGTACTTCGTCTAAACGCATAGTCTCCTTAACGATTAAATAAAGGTTGGGTTTATCTGTGGGGAAATTAATGCAATGGTTTCTACTGTTTATTGACATAGCAATAGTTGTTTAATTTTACAATGTTACATTAGCTTAAAAAAACTTACTACTTATAATATTTAATGTTAGTATAGTATTCAGCCGCATTCGGTGAAGAGAACTTCTTTAAATCTACCAGGTCCTTATATTTTTCTGCAGAAATTGACAAGACATCTTCATATGCAGATTCTGGTAGTATGAATTCAGTACCAAGTATATTCTTTATGCGTCTTGTGTTTCTTCCAGCGATAGAGGCCTATTCCCACACTCCATTGTATGTTAAACGGAAGTAGTGTTTGAATTAGTAATTTTTAGTTCCTTTATCGGTCGTGATGGAAATGTTAATTTTTTGGCATATATCCTATCAAGATGGGATGTCCAACTTTGAAAATATGAATGGTCAACATTAATTACCTCAAATGGCGTCGGTGTTTGACGAGCATCCTTAACTACCTCAATCTGATCGTCAGGGATCTCTGTCCTAGTTGCAGATTTGATAAATCCCATATTTTTATCGCACTCTAAGTATGAGTGCCCTCTTATTGGAAATGTCATCATTATAGACTCACAACTTTTTTTCTACATGAACTAAATGATGAAGGAATCGAAACATTGTAAAATTTTTGTTTTGACCTCTGCAAGTCACAAAAGATACTTAGGTGTTTTGTATTTCATCGCATAATATTGTACACGGAGTGGTGAACAAGAGAACAAACGTCACCACCACATTTCTTTTTCTCCATTTCTGGTAATTTTTCCGTAATCTATGCAGATAGATTCTGAAAAATTTGCGTTATTTCTACTGTCGAGACTGTCGTTTTCTGTCATAGAAAGTGCTTGCTTTTAGTTTATGTATTTTGTTTTCTACATGTAATTTGTGAATCTCACAATCAAGGGATGCTGAGCGATTCGGATGATTTTTACCTGTTTTTTCAACGTCTAATGCTTTAACTTTAATTTGATATTCATCACATACACTACAAGTATCTGTGGGTGGATAACCAAAACTTATATTAAAATCTATGCAGAATATACTCCGGTATATTTCATAAGATACTGTCAAGTCTTTGTTGTACTCTAGAAACATCATGTACATTTTTTACATTTCATTCTTCTGGTAAATACAGCTTGGTTGAGTCGTGAAGACTGTAATTGTTGGTCTGTCCCTTGAATGAGTTGATGTGTCCGCCAACTTTACTTTTAATTTCCTCGTCAAGTCTGTGGTGGTTTCCATGTTTTCCCCTTTTATCACTTGGGGCAATGTTTTCTTCAGACTACTGACTAAATATTCAATTTTCTTCTTAGTTATACCATGAATCGACATAAAAGCTTACATACAGTAACCTCTGTCGCCTGAGACTTTATCATAGCGAGCACCTTATACTTGCAGACAGCGACATCTTCAATGGCGTGCATCTTCATTCTTCGACGGTCTTTGAACTGGCAAAAGTAAGATCAAACCACTCAAATAGCTATTTTGTACATCATGAGATTCAAGAATATTGAAGTTTTGCAGTATAGTTTGTCGAGCTTGTTCTGGTATTTGCTCGAAACACTTCCTTTTACACTCACATGATAGTCCCGGTTGATGACTCGCAAGTTTTATTTTTTTTACAACGTCTGCCATCCGTCAGTGTGACTTTCTTTTCTTAGTTTTTGGCTCTACATACACTCCCATACTGTCAATACTAGTTTCATTACTCATTTTAATTCTTACGAACACGATGTTAGCTAAACAACACAGACATCAAAAACTTATAATCTCTCTTCAAAGAACATGTAAGAGTAAAGTATGACGCAACAATGAACAGTTGTTACTGAATACTGAACAGTATGGCGAATTTCTCAGAAGGTCAGGTAATTTTTCAGTCAGGTCAGCGTTTTTTCGCTAAACACACATAAATAGCCCCTTCTATCGCTTTTTAGCCTGCAATGTCCCCTTATTTACTAGTTTGTATCGCAGTCAGCACCTTTTATTTCTGTACGGGATTATAATTTTATGAAATATAAGCGGAATGAGCCATAAAATTTGAAACAACCTATCATAATAAGGTGTAAAACTCAAAAGATGTTGATGAGCCCGTTTTATTCCTGTACCCTTCATATGCGAATGATATTTTAAAATTACCGAAATTTTATTATGAATAATGCTAATGCTTTTCTAATATATTCTTGCTAGTATACCAGCACTAAATTTGGATATGGTGAATAAAATTAATTATTTTAAAATGCGACTTTAGAGCAATATTCCACTTTATTTAATCTTTTTTTTTTTCGACCAACATAGTTTACTTATTATATGTACTTTTGCCGTATAAAAATAATGTATTAATACTATGTTTGCTTAACTAGGTCAAATTATGGAGTTGGAAGTTTGTGAACAGTTACCTTCAGAAAATGACATCAGCTCCAAACACTGCCTGACATTGGGAGTTGGAGAACTAAATGTAAACAGAGGTAAATATTGCAATATAAATAAAGTATATAATTTAGAAATATATATCATCAGTAAGAAATTTAAATATCTTTAAATTAAACTGGTGCCATCTACTTCGATGTGAGTTGTTCAGAGGGTTCTTAATTCAAACCTCCGCTACCAAAAAAAAAATAATCAAAAATTTAAACGTTGTAGTTTATTGTCAAAAATGTATTTGCAACTTTGAGTTGGTATATTCGAAGACAACGGCTGGACCGATGGATGTGTAGTAGATAAAGGCAAGATATGCGACTTACGTCTTTATGTCACTTATTCATTGATGTCTGTCGGAAAGCTATTGAGATGCTAGAATAACCGCAATCTAGATAAACAGCCAACAAAATCGGAAATATATCTGCAATATAAAATGTTTAAAAAATGTTTATCTACTATTTATGCCATAAGTAGCATAAGTCAATTTATCCTAAATATCCAATATATTCATAAATAATAAAATTACTTTATTCAATTTTAAAAATACAGAAAACCTACTATGAAGCTTCGCACTAGTCTACTGTACCGGCTGCTGTACTATTTTTTTATTATTGTTTATGTATTCTAAACAAACAAAATTTACTGTGCTCTTTCCACTTCATCGATCTTCCGATAAAATTTTTACAAATTAAGCAATCCACAAGGAATCTATGTTCCTGTAATTTGCTGTATACCATATATTAAAAAAATTTATTTAAAAACCTTTATAAAAGGTATATATTTAAAAACGCCAACGGGCTAATTATACAAAACGTTTTCGGAATCCATATTCCATCATTAGTGTCTAGGAGTACATGAATGTAGCTACTAAATATATGGGTAAAATACTGTAAATACTGTAAACTAAATATTTAGTTTACAGTATTTGTTATAATATGTTAAGATGTTAAAGTTACCGTTGGATAAGGTAACATGGCGACATATGACTCGACTTCCACGTTGAAGTTGCTAGTCCTGAGACGGTGTGTCTACGAGGACTGTATGGAAGCAACTCATATTTGACATTTATAAATGAATATTTAATATAACTAACGTATACTTTCATTTTCAGAAGAAACATGCTTCTGGGATACCGGAAAATTATACAGGGGAGTTCAGGACAAATCTTTTACCGGCAAACCTTGTCTGCGATGGGCTCATCAGTTTCATGTTCCTACTTCAGATAACCCAGAACTCGCAGGTCACAATTATTGCAGGTAAGTTTCTAATTCAACCTCCGATACAAGATGCTTAAGTGTTACGTGTGGCCTGTTCTCTTGTACAGAATGGAAGCATGGACGTTAAAGGTCAGTTACATTAACAAACTTGAAGTGTTTGAAATGTGATGCTTGTGTCGAATGCTTAGAATATCATGGACGGACAGGGTCAGAAATGAGGAAGTACTCAGAAGAGCGGGCTTACAGGATAGGGAACTTTTTAATTATGTAAAAAGTAAGAAGACTGCATACTTGGGACAAATATTACGAGGAGAAAGATGCACTTTTCACAACTGATACTCGAAGGGAAGATATTGGGTAGGAGAGTTCTGGGACGTAAAAAAATGTCATGGCTGCGCAATATTCTACAATGGACAGGAATCCACAGCTATGAAATGCTTTGCAATGCTGCTAAAAACAGAATGATTTAATCCTGACTATTTAACATCTCACCTGACAAGACGATGTACGGTGGACGCCTACGCAGAAATGCACGGTACCTTAACAAGAAGAAAAAGAAGTTTCTAATATTTGTTACACATACTTGTTTTGTATACAATGGACCGAATACTTCATACTAAAATATAGGTAAAAATTGCAGGTACAAGTAACGTGTATTAGTCATTGACACCGTTCAATTAAAATTCAGTAGCATATCGATCCTATTTTTAAAGTGAATTTTAAATATTAAGCTTAATTATGATATGAGCATTGTTTGACTTTATAAAAGAAGTAAAGAATATGTGAGTTACAGTAAACTTATCGAATGAAGACCTACCATGGCGATCATTGGTAGTTAATTCGTAATGAATGGTTCAATCGAAACATTCACTTTAGTATCTCAATGTCTATCGATCTAGTATACAATATCTCCATATTCTTTTTTACAGTATATCTAATACAATTGTTCCACAACTTATCCGTGACATTTTCCATCGCAATAGCTAGAAGCCTTCCTGGTTTATTATTTGAGTCAGCACAAGCTTAATAGGGATCAGCGAACAACGATAACAAGGAAGGGTATAATTTTGTTCCTTCCAATTCACATATGTCTTGAATTCTGGTATATGAGATTTAATAATTGTTTAACATTTTATCAGCTAATGGTATATTTGTTTGAGAATATTAATTAAGTCATCTTTTCGACAGGCTGTGGTTGATGACTGATCCAATCATCGACTTTGGTTCAACGTATTGTATATAATGGCGACATAATTAGGTTTAACGTTTGGTCAAATTTTTGAACCAACTTTTAAAAATCTTTTCGCCATTTCCTTATGTTAACCTTTAGTTATTTTGGATTCAAAGAGTAACAAGCCGTTCTCAAAAAAAGAAACTCAAATCACTGCCTTTTTGTGCTAACACGAGCTTTCTCTGCCAGCTGCTGTTTGAAACCCGTTTTAAACTGTGCAGTTAAAGCTCGTTGAGGTTGTTTTTAATATCATAACGATACCACATTTTTGTGACAGAATGGCATTAAATTTGTTAAGTATTATCAAGTAACAATCTTTTCTTCGTTCGTGAGATACTCTCTGATTTTTTGCAAGTACTGTCTCGATTACAAGATAATTTTTTTCGTTTCTGTAAAACTGCTGTTCCCACTACTCTTTATAAATTTAATATTGATTTACAATAAAGTTTGCAATCAAGTGTGTCGTGATATTTTGAATATAGAATATTTTTCTCCTGAAAATTGGCAACAGCTTTGGCCAATTCTTCTTATTTTGGGTCTTCCTCAGTCACTCGTTATTCTCTAAGTCTGTTCAATCTCATACATTCTTAATCACGACACCCTGTCTGCGACGTGATTCACATCTACCTTTGATTTTACCCACCATTGAACTGAAGGAAGTCCAATAAGTAAAGAAATAATAATAAGACTTACTCACAATCAAGAATGTGTTGCTTGTGTGAGTCCATATCCAATAGACAATAGGTAAAGAAATCTTAGTCTTATTCTTATTATTATTTCTTTACCTATTGGATATGGACTCACACAAACAACACATTCATGATTTGAAGTCCAATAATTATATTGAAACTTATTACATTGCCAAGACGTACAGTTATCCACTTTTCAGAAGTTGGTGGTGTGGATAGTCCAGGATATTCATCACATTCGTCGATATACACATTCGTTGCCATTCTTTTAAGGTTTTAATTTCCACAATAAAGCTAAATTCCTATAGGTGGCTGAATACCATGTTTCACAACAATTTTTATTTAAAAAATTCCTTTATAAAAGATATATTAACGTATAAACCCTATCAGGCTACATCACAGAATGTTTTCGGTATAAGTATTCCATTATCAGTGCTAAGCATAACCACTTTAATTAAAGTAAACATGAAAGTTAGAATTTCGGCCAAGGATATTACAAAAATGTGGTTGATAATTACTTGATTTACGTTTTTGAAGCCACTATATATGTGGGCAAAAACCCTTTAAATGTAGTTAGATTCATTTTGAATTACATCTTTGATATTTAAAAACTGTGATGTTTTAGTTGTAAAAGGAATTGATCACATGGCAACGTAGGATTCCATTGGAGTTGCTACTTCTTAGACGAAGTGTCTGTGAGGACTTGTTGATAGCAACTGATTAAAATGACATATTAAGACGGAAGACCGAACAATGGAGTCAATGTAACCTGAGGATTGTGTCCTAAATGTGACAGTAGCCTGCACCATGTATAATTAAATATGTTAAAATTTGAATGATTATAACCATCAATAGGTTCGTTCTAGCATCAGTTTCAAATGGTTTGAAACCATCAGCGAATAGTGGACCAGTGAGAGTAGAGGGGATATAGCACTGGTGACTGTATTATTTTCTCTCGCTGACCAACTGTTTGCTGACGGTTTCTGACTAGTTTGTCTGTTTGCTAGAACAAATCTAATATCTTAGAATTTATGTTGTATCAATATGTTTTAAATCACACTCTAAATTACAACATATTGATGGTTGCTACTATTATAATCATTCAAATTTTAACATATTTAATTATACATATTGCTGGCTATGGTTACATTTAGACACATACCTCCGGTTACGTTGGCTGCTTTGTTCAGACTTTCCGTCCTAATATGTCATTTTTTCAGGTGCTATCAACAAGTCCTCACAAACACTTTACAGCAAGTTAGGCAATTTTTTTCTGGTTTCTTCTGTAGCTTTGAGCATTTCTACTATTCTCATATCAGGACCTGGTGCTTTGTTATACTTGAGTTTACTGATCGCCAGTTTTATTTCATTCTCAGTATGTTAATTTCTTCTTCGATTTCTTCAGGAGTTTGGTGAACAAAGTCCTGGCGTTGATTATCTTTATATAGATCCCGACAATATGATCTCCAGGTCTCTGCTATATCTTCTCTATTGGTTCTCAGGGTTCCTTTGTTGTCTTCAACTGCCCAACTTCTCCCTTTAAAGTCTCTTAATATTATTCTGAAGCTATTTTCTTGTGGGATTTTAAAATACTTTAAAATCTTTCAACTTCGAAAGCGCATGGTTAAATGCTACATTTGGTCAGTCCTCTTATACGGTGTCGAAGCATGGACATTAAAAATATCCATGATTAATCGTCTGGAGGCCTTTGAGATGTGGTTGCACAGACGTATACTAAAAATTCCATGGACGGCTATGCTGACTCCTTGAAAGAGCAAATGCTGCTCGCGAGCTGCTTGATAACATCAAATGTAGAAAGATGGCCTATTTTGGACACGTAGTAAGGGGAGACCGATATAATATTCTTCAACTTATTATGATGGGTAAAATCGAAGGACGCAGAGGAATTGGTAGAAAGCAGGCCTCTTGGTTGAAGAATATCAGGGAGTGGACAGGAATAAATAAAGCTGAGCAACTATTTAGAATAGCTCGAGACAGAGACAGTTTCGCCATGTTAATCGCCAACGTCAAGGGGACTTAATAGGGCACGTTAAGAAGAATAATTTTAAAATAATTACTATTTTAATGGGAATAAGCCATAATTGCAGGTTAAAATAAGTTTATTGACGAATTTAAGAAACTTTGGGTAGAATACTTAGTCTGCAAAATCTGCGTCTTTTTTATTTTGATGAAGTACAGTCGACAATGAGTTACGATATAACTGTCTGGAGTGGCTCTCCTAGTATGAAGGACCTTTTCAATGCCCAAACGCTTATTGTGAGATGAATTGCAGGTGTTCCGTATGGTTGGTCTTGTAAAAGTCTATTTCGGTATTTAAGCATTGTATCATAGAATATAGACGCTTAGCGTCTATATTCTTTGATTGTATTAACAGTGTATGGAATTTAAATTTTAGAATTATTGATACTAATTCATGAGAATCAAAGAACTTTTTTATGTAACAGTAATATTTACTCACACAACAGAAATAAGAGACAGTTTGTAGTAAGTACCCTTTCGACATTTAGAAATAAGTGGGAAGTCATCTAGTGTCTGTGGTTTACTACTGTATAATCAACTTTCTCAAAAATTTAAAAACATTAATCCTACTACAGCTTTTAAAAACCAAGTTAAAGAGTACCTAGTGATCAAGTGTTCTTAGGTTCTATATTTATAATTTTCTACTTTTGACCTGCTATAAACCTTGTTGTAACTTATAGACAAATAAACTATCTATCTATCTAGCTACCCACGTATATTGATTTTATTTATTTATTTTTAGGAATCCTAGAGAAATGGAGCGGGAACCATTTTGTTATGTAGAACAAAATAAAAAAGAAGTGTGTGGTGTTACCAAATGCGGTACGTCTAAAACATTGAAATTTTGCAAAAATAAAGTAAATCCATATTTTTGTTGTAGTTTATGTATTCGGAACCTATATTGGCGGTATAATTGTGGCTCTGGTGGCAGTCGTGGTAGCTTTTACATACTGCTATTGCAACAGAAGGAGTAAACTCACGAGGAATTTACAGAATGTAAGTACACACATCAAATTAAAATTCTTCGTTTTGCTGTATCGCCAATTTAAATATTTACTTATATTTGTTTTTGGCTTAGAAGGATCTACCGCCTGTAAGTAAAAATATTTACGGTAGTCCCGGTCCAAGTGCTCCTATGGAGATGAATTCGTTACTTCCTCCACACCTTCCTCCTCAACGGAGTCACCATGGATCCAATAAAAATAGCTTTCAATCTGTACCACAATATACATTTAAAGAAGTTAGATTTTTAGACGAATTAGGAGAAGGCGCGTTTGGTAAGTACTACAATTGTTACACATAGTTTATAAAATTGTTTGTGCTTATCTCATTTCGAAATACGTGAGTTTTCTCAAGTTATATTTTTCGATAATGTGTAGATATTTTATTGTACCTAGAATAATTGTAAAAAATTGTCAGAACATTGCTCAATGTTCTGTAGTTTGGTGATACTTTAGAGGACGATATCACAGTTCACAGTACCGACACTTTGTTAAAAATATCAACCAGCTTTCCGTCAATATTTGTGAATACTAAACATGTGCAGAGTTGGTTCTTTTTAGCTGGCTATTACTATATGAACTCCCAAATTACAAGTATAAACGTAATAGAGCCATTTGTTAGACACCAGTCGTAAGCGTCTTTTCATATAGGCGAACGGTTCACTACCAAATAGATGCATAAAAATCAACCTAACCGACCACAAAAAGCAGCTTGTATAAAATCTAAATCATTTTTTTTATCCGAATGGTCCTTAATTTATTTTTAACAAATAACTTGTTTTACAAATAATTTTTTACGTTAATCGATCATAAGTAAATGTTCCATTACCAAACATTCATATCTCTGCGTTTACTAAAGATTTAAGACCATTTTTGGTCGCAAAATAATCCTTAAACATCATAATTTTTACACGATATTTTTTTTAGGCGACTCTCATTACTGCGTATCACATGTCCTGTTCATCTTAGTCCATTGGCCTTTGTATATCTCACTAGATTTTCCTTTCCCAAAACAGACTCTCGCTCATTATGTCTGCGCCTCCATCGTTTGCTATCGCGCATGCTATCTCTGCAAGGGCCATATATTACTCGAAGGATTTCACGTTTCCACACCACAAATTTATTAACTTCATATTTTTTAGCGTATATTTCCACCTGCTTACGTGACTGCTGGTCGAACTATGGTTTTGTATATCTAAATGTTTGCACCTCGTGAGAGAAGCTTTGACCTCATTAGATGTTGTATTGCAAAGAAGGATCTATTTCCTGCCAGTATTCGCTTTCAACTTCTCGTTATACTTTGTTATCATTGGTCATTGTTGCTAGATATTTAAATTATTTATTTAACCACCACGAAGTTATGATTGTTTATAGTAAGATTTTGCCTTATTGGTCGTCGTTCTTGTTTTAAAACAACTATGGATTTTGTTTTTTCTTCATTTACCATTAGACCGATCTTTAGTGCAGCGTCTTCAAAGACGAGAACGATCTTTGCTCCCCAAGCAGGGATGTCTGTTTTGTATAACAATTATCTTATTATAATTTATTATAATATTTTATCACTACAGCTGTTTCGGCATAGTGCCTTTCTCAAATGATCTATTTTTGGATGTGTTTACAATATAGTATTTACGAAATAGGTTGAGGAGGGAAGAACTATTTGTCTCAAGTTGGTCATTCAGAAATATGGCTTAAGGCCTTTATTTTGGATCTGATTCGTCATTAAAAGCATGATTATCATCTAGAAGGTGCAGTGCGTATGTAGAATCTGTTTTTCTATTATTGAAAGCCTTTTTATGTTCTGCTACATATTTGTTAAAGGTTCTACCAGTTTGACCGATATAGTTTTTGGGCAGTCGCCGCATTTAATTTTGTATAGGTACATCATTGTGCAAGTGCTTTTTATTTTGGCTCTTGTTATTTTTAATATATTTGCCTAAGTTGTTGTTTGTTCTTAAAGCTGGTGTTATTCCTTTATTCCATTTATGCTGTTATTCCAAGGTACTGGGTTTTTTTCTGGTGGTGGAAATACTAATTTCAAGAGGCTTTCTTGTGTAGTCTTTTATTTAAAATTTTATTAAATGTTTGTTCGTTGTACCCATTGTTTACTGCTATTTGCTTAATAATATTTACTTATGTCTCAAAGTTGTATGTTGACATCGGAATTTCTAATAATCTATGTAACAGCCTGTCATAGCAGTGACGTTCTGGGCATTCAGGTGCTCTTCAAAATATTCAGCCCATCTTTCTATTATTTTATTTTCGGCGGTGAGTGTTTCTCCACTTTTATCTCTCACGAAATTGAGTGTTCTTAGAGACTCCCTTGTGTTATTTTAACTGTCTGTACGATATTGTCTCTTTTTTGCGTTAGTGTGTTTCTCTATCTGTCTTTCTCCCTCTCTGTTGAATTGTATACGTTGTTCATGTGATGAGCTCGACAGATACTCCATTCTTCTTTTGTTTGCTTCTTTTAGGGCTCTTTCGCATTCTTCGTTGAACCATTTTTTCCTTTTTGTTTTCTTCATTCTTCCGATAGGTTTTTCTGCTGCTTTTGTAATAGTTCTTTTTATGGAGTATCATTTCTGGTCTACATCATTTTTATTTATTTCCAACACCTACAACCTATTTCTTATTTTTAGTTGATATTATTTTCTCCTATCTTCTTCTTCCAGCTTCGCCACATTCCCACATGTTGATATTCGTCTGGTTATCAATTGTTTGTGATCAATACATAATCTATTTGATTATTTGTTCTTTCATCGTATGATCTCCATGTAGCTTTGTGGGTATTTTTTCTAGTAAACTTTGCGCTTTTGATGACTAATTGCAGCCTGTCACAACATCAATCGATCGTGATCCATTGTCATTTGTAACGTCATGTAGAGCATGTCTTCCTGTTGCCGGTATTACACACACTTATGTGCCTACTGTTGCGTTTATATCTCCTAATATTATTTTGATATCATGGTAAGGAGCTGCGGTGTACAGTTGATTTAGAAATTCGTTAGAATAGAGTAGTAGAATTCATTTTTATCATCCTCTGATGCTTCTTCTTTTGATTCATACACTACGAATATAGCTAAATTGGACCATTTACCTAAATTGGTATTACACACACTTATGTACCTACTGTTGCGTTTATATCTCCTAATATTATTTTGATATCATGGTCAGAAGCTGCGGTGTATAGTTAATTTAGAAATTCGTTAGAATACAATAGTAGAATTCATTTTTATCGTCCTCTGATGCTTTTTCTTTTGATGCATACAATGGTTCTTATTGCAGTCTTACAAAGTCATAGCTTTTTTTCATGTCGAGTTTCATGAATAGCTGTTACATCATATCTCAGGTCTTCTAGTTGTTTTATCGCTGTCGTGATGATTTAAGGTCGACACCAACTTAATACGTTCCTTGCTCCTAATAGGACATTCTTTTTTCGTGGGCTTCGTCATTTGTTTTGATAATCTACTCCGAGACGATATTTTTTTCATAGAATTGGTGTTTTACATGTATGGATCGCTGGTCCATAGCAAAACTCCCTTTTCAGAGGACCATGTCTCTCTTCTCGTCTGACCTGATCCTGCATTCCAGTGGATTTGGTTACCCAATCCCCAGCACGATTCCTCAAATGTCCGGGGTTCACCCATGTGGTCAAGACCACAGTTTGTGGAGGCGAGAGCAGAAATTGAGTAGGAGAAGCTAGATATGCTAATTGGAAGCAGCATCTTATAATGCGCATCACTACTCCCCTACCGTGAAAGGCTTCTTCTGTAATCATAATTATATACTTTTAAATTAAAGCTATTTAAAAGAGTCCATACTTTTGTTGTAAATTGATTGTATACTGGCTACACCTGGCAATTCACCGTATTTGAAACTCGTCCAGTTTTAATTTTAATTGAATAAATAGCTTGTTAATCCTATTGAATAATTATCTACTTATATGTGGCTATATACAACTGTTCTGAAGCTATTTTGTTCTGGTATGTTAATACAATTTACTATTTTTACTGGGGCTAAGCCACAATGTTACTTTAAAATAAGTTTGTTATGACATTTCGATTTCCACTTCGGAAATTTTGAAAACAATTTCTGAAGTGGAACTTGAAACGTCAAAATAAACTTATTTTAAAGTAATATTGTGGCTTATGTCCAGTAAAAATAATAAATTGTATATACAACTATAGTGCATCCCGCTGTTAGTGTAGTGTTCCTCGCTGATGTATTCGTTTGAACTCGTTTCAACAAATACAATATATGTAAGAGCGAAACTTTTAAGTACAACCAATACGTTATTTTGTATTATAGTGCAGTCTTTTTTATTTAAAACTTATTTTTACTTTTTGGATACTTTTGGCTCTAATTTTTACCCAGATTCTCAGCCCAGTGAAACGAATAAAATATGTGAATTGACAAAGTTCAGAAGAACTGAAAGAGAAGGAAGGAAAATATTAAAAATATGGCTAAGCTCAGAGGAACAAAGTTAAACGGCCAAAGAGACACTAAATCTCAAGTGAGTGTTCGGGCTAGCTTCGATGCACTGGATTGCGGCTTTAAAGATACAACAGATAACAAGGATAATGAGCTAATGAGACAAGAAACGAAATGAGACCTGACAATGTCAAACGTGATATAACTAAAGAAGGTCACTGGGAATAAATTTATAGAAAGAGAACACTAAGAAGAGAAAAGAAGGGCGCCAACTCAACGATAGTTGAGATTTTGAAGTAACAAATAAATCTGGAGATAGTAACCTGAAATACAAAAAAAACTAAATAATAATCTTATTTTGCTATGTTATATACTGGTTAGTAGAACTGAAATAAAACTCAAAATAGTAACAACAAATATATTTATAAAAAGAATGTATATAGATACATGTGTATAACCAATTTACATATAATGCAAAGCTAAATATACAGTGGTAGTGGGTATAAAGATAAAATGGGACCTAATAGCCCCTCCACAAGCAAATAGTCACTACCACTGGCCAAATAAAATGTAAATATTAGTATTAACAAGAATAGTCCGTTAGGGTAGCCGAAGTCTTAACACTAAGGTTAGTAATCTAAATTTAAATAGTTCTACTAAACTGATAAACTAATCAACGTATTGTACAGGTATCAACAGTGATAACTCTGTTACAATTATCTTAAAAGTGAGTTTTCAATACTCCTTATCTATTTATTTTAAAGTCCACATAAAATTTATTTCCCTCCCCAAAATATTTTAATATTATTACATCAAAGTATGTATTGTATTATAACATGAAATCC